AGTGGGGCTGCAATCTCTCCAGTTGCTGCCAAATACCATCTTGACCCTTCATAGTGGAAAAGTTGTATCCTGCCTTGAAATCCATAGGCGACGCAACTCTAACACCATTCTTTGAAAGGAACCAAGATAATCCACTGTTTCCATGAAGTAACTCAACAACATCAGGATGATCATCATTACAGAAGAAAAAGGACTGTTCTCCAAATTCGGCATCAACATACAGTTCGTGATCTTCACGTAAGTTCTCCGGATTCTCATCGTCTAATGCCGGTATGGAAACATCATGCCACTCATCGTGATCGCGTCTAACCTTTGACTGATTCACACGTATCACTGCCTTACCAGTATTGGCTTGGACCATAGCTCCTTCTTGTCCAAGTACTATGGCACGAACCCAACGTCCTTTATCCTTGAACTTTGATGAATCCTGAGTCCAAACAAAAACCTTCTCTCCTTGGAAATAAGGACCGTCACTTGGCATAGTCCTTCTTGCAAGATCTGCTCGAAGGTCCTGAGCTTGTCGTGCTTCTTGATGAGCTCTCAAAGCTACACGTTGTAGTTCCAGATTTGTACGATCTTGTGCGGCTGCACTAGCTGACAATTGCTCAGGGCTTGCGGTCTCAAGGTCAAAAAGATCTGGTGGACGTCTTCCAGTTGCTATCTCTATTGGTGAATATCCACTGATAGTCAACTGACAATTTCTTGCCCAAACTACCTTCTTGACCACTTCTCTGACCGTAACACCACGAAAACGTGGGTCATCCAGATCTACCTTCATAACATGCCACATACGTTTGAACAAACGTACAGCTGTCTCTGCTCGGTTCGGCCAAGGAGTTCTTGGCCCACAAGGACATTGTTGTATACCATGGAACCTGTAGTATTCAACAAAAGCATCTGTGAAAAAGGCTTCGTCTCCTACGATGGCCTTCGGAACACAATTGTTCTCATCAGACCATTGCCTCAATGCTTGGATGGTGGTTTGATCTATGAGGTCTTTCTGTGCCGTAGCCCAGAGAAGATTTGTGGCACCATCAAGAACAAGTAGAATGATATACTTGTTCTTGTGAAGTTCAACCTCACAATGATCAGCAAAAACAACATCACCAAAACATGAAGCTCTAATACCGGAGACTCTGGCTCGTGGCGGAGGTGCCACTGAAGTGTTACAAACACGGCAGTTCCTGACAACTGATTCATACTTCTCTAAAACAGAGTCAGGAAGCTTCAACATAGAAACACGTCTACGAAACTGAGTAGGACTCATATGGTAGTGCTTCACATGAAGCTTATAAAGCTCTACCTTGTCCTCCAGTCTCTGTAACATCTTCCTATATGCCGGTGTCATTGCAACAACTTCACTACCAGGTAATGGGATTGAAATCCGCCTAGGCTCAAGAGCGCCATCACCTGGTTCAAGTGGTTCATGTTTATCACTTGATGGTCCTTTTGATGCTTTAGGAATTTCTACAAGTTCACCTTCTGGCCTCTCAGGTGGTTCTGAGGGAGCATACTCCTCAAGATCATCACCCTTTAAATCATTCTGAGGCTCAGATGGTTTTGACTTGTGTCCTTTCCAAAATGGATCAAAACCCTTGGAAGTATACCGAAACTTCGGCGGCACGGGCTTTTCCGCGGCACTTGGTGGTGCACCTTCCTTCTCTGATGAGAAGCCTGGTTCCCTGTCCTTTGCAATGGGAACCTTCTCTGAGGAGGAGCGCACCACTGCATCGGGATCACCAATGCCACGGTGCTCAATGCCAGCCTTCCTGATCTTTAGATCTGGAATTTTGGCATCTGGCTTAAACTTAAAAATTGTTCTACCACGCCATTCATAGCCAAGTTGTAGGTCCTTCCATTTTGCCTTGCGCCAATCATCTGTCTTCTTGATTTCTTCTCCTCCTGCTTTCTTCTTGATGATTGTCAGTCGCAAGTCTTCCAGCAAGTCAGTGTCTACAGGACAGGACTTAGTTGCTGGGAAAAGAATTTTCCTGTAATCCTTGTGGTGACGTATCAGTTCTCTCTTGTGAACATCTACTTCCCAGAAATCAACCACAGGATATGCATGCTCAGCTTCATCTTCATCACTATTGTGTTCAACAGAAATATGGCCATATTCATAGTGAGTGAGGTGAGAGTAAAAACTCTTCTCACGCTGAGTCTGCAGACGCACGTCAGACAGATACCATGCAATGTCTTGGAAGTCCAACACAAGATGAGTACTGGCTGCAACCTTCAACTCCAAAAATTTGATACCAAGAGGCACCGATGTCAGATAAGCATGTTGAGGTGTCAGCCTGAGTTCAAAGCCTAAGTTCCTCATCTGTGGCAAGCTCATAAGCAAAGGGACTTCTCCTTCTTCCACTATGTCGAACTCTGTATGGTGGATCGTCCATGCACGATCATACATGTAAATCACCAGTTTCTGAGAGCAAGAAGCCTTCTGGGAATTGGCAAAGTAGAACTTGCTCTTGGTAGACTCAAAAGAGTACCATAATCCACAATCTGGGTGATTGTCGACATAGTTGCAAAAATGGTCGACTGCTCGCCTTGATCCCATAGCTCTAGTGCATCCAATGTCCAGGATTGCAATAGTTGGCGGGAAGCGATTCTCAGTCAAAAATGAAATGGCCTGCATCTCCTTCACATCTTCCTCAGCGCTCATAAGCGCAAAGCCATCAGGAGCACTTGTGAGCATCTCCTTTGACAAAGAGTACCTCACAGGGGCACTCATGTCATCGAAGATCGTCTCACCATTGTTGACCACGCAGTCAGCTTCATCTTGGCATGAGGTCATCATGCCTGACAGCAAGTTCACCTCACTGTCATGGACTTCAGCTGCTGCTGTCACACAATGTGCAAAGAAACCTTGTTGACCTCCTGATGCTTGTGAAGATCTTGAAGGTGCAGGCAAAGAACGTGGCTGTTGTTGATTTGCATAGTTTGCATCTTGTTTGCCATCTCCTTTATCTTTTCCTTTTCCTTTCTTGCCTTTTCTCTTGCCTTTTCCTTTTCCTTTGTGGGAAAACCATGCTTCTTCAAGCTGTTGCCAAAAGTCATTGGCATCATCATATTCTCCTTGAAGATAGTCATTCATATCTTCGGCAAGAATGGCATCATATGCTCCTTGGTTTGACTCCCAAGTGTCCTCATAAGGATTCTCTTCAAGGTATTCATCAGGAAAAGTTGTCTGTTGCTCATCAGCAAAATGGCCTTTACCTCGTCTCTTTCCTTTTCCTTTTCCACGAGGTCTGAAGAATCTGCGGCCTGATCTTCCTTTACCTTTTCCTTTTCTTCTACCTTTTCCTTTGCCTTTTCTGGCTCTTCTTCCTTGGAATCTCCTTTGGAACCACGAGAAGTTTTGATCATCGTATACCCAAAAGACATCGTCCAGGGCATCCAAAAATCCTTCTGTTCCATCTTCTCCATCTTCGGCCCAATAGCCAAATGTACCATCGAGTTCTCCTTCGTCTAGTACGAGGAATGATCTTCTACCTCCAGCACCTGTCGGCTGCATCAATGGATTGTCTACTGAAGTCTTTGTCGTGCAGAACATCTCGATGAAAACTGTCCTTAGCTCTGTTGTAGTGTATTGCTGCAGGTACCTGCCACGATGAGTCATCAACGAAGTCAAAGTGTTTCGCTGGTCCTGAGACAAATCTGCAAGGGACAGCATGAGTAGGGCAATGAGATTCTCTCCTAAAGGAAAATCATTCTGATGAAGAATTCTCATATTGCCATTGATGGTCTGCATGATTTCCTGAATCCTTTCTGCCGTTGGTGCTACTCCAGTCAACGCTGCATCTGCCTGCATCTGAGCAAGGACTTGGGGATGTGCTTGAGTGACTGGTTCTAACATGTCCATCCAACTGCTCATAAGCCTTTGGAGTAAAATCTGGAATCTTGTCATCCATTTCATCATGTCGGCTGATCCTCGATTGAATCGCACGAATTGCATAAACCTGTATAGGAATACATTGGTTGATCCTTTCACGAAATATGGTCGTAGTACTCGTTTGAAGTAATCTACTCCTGCTCCTGGTGGCTCATTAGCCTTCAATGAATCTCTGTCTAATACACGTTTGTATACTGCTGCTTCTCCTTCTAATCTGTTTCTCAAAGCTGGTCCTCTCTTCTCATCTTCCAGCTCGGTGATATCACACCAATCGTCTATGGCATCCTCATAGGAAAACCATGAAGTCTTTCCATCATAAGATGGGGGCACCTTTGTAGTGACCTGCGTTGTCATTGCTATTGCTGCTGGTTCTCTTCTCACATGCCTATTCACGTAGGCTGCTGGCTCATAAGCCACATCCGCATCAGGCTCTTCCCAGTCGTCTATCCAATCCATGGCTGTTTGCCCACTAGCAATTCTATGCCTAGGAAAGGAGCTCACCTGGGTCTTCCAGGATCACTGCTCCGCTACCACTGAAAGAGTGACTAGGGCGTACACGGTAGAGGTGCAGACCGCTAGTGTCTTTTGCTCACGCAGAGTCTTATCCTATATTGGTCCATTGACCCTCTCTTGAGCCTTATGGCAGTCAAGCATGGACACACTAGATAGGCCACTGGAGTGGAACCTGTACAAGTAGGCCTCTACATTTCAGGGGGGGGGGGGTTTATTAATCCGGTCTATGCATTAACGGGGTAGGACCAATGACCACCGGAAACACAGGCTCCTTGGAGACATGCAAAATAGCTCCAAGCCAGCTCCAAACACATGCGGAACAGGCGGCCTGCCGCCGCCACAGCCCGCTCGGCGGCACTTTGGGCCTCGGGCGTCACGAGACATCGGTCCCATAAGGCTCATAAGGTCAAAAGAGCATATGATACTATGACCTTATATGAACATGATATGGTTGATATATGTCTAGGTTGTGATATGAACGCGTAAGGTGTGACATGCATAAGGTATATGCATAAGGTGTGATATGTTTGATATATGTCTGTTTAAGCATATCACACTACAACAAACATATATCTTAAACAGGATGTTAGGGTGGGTGGTCTGCGATGGGCCCATAAAGACCACCTTGGCGTCTACACAAACCCAGCCCTGGAGGGTTTTGGTATGAGAATGGATGAAACATGATTAAAGATTTGGGAAGCATCCAGAAAGATCATCAAGTATGCCTGGTGCTTGTCAGGGAATCTCACTCTTGCAACCGCTAGTCTCAATCTATTCTATCTAACCTCCAATTGCCAATTCTACATTTCTTGGATCGTTTCCAGAACATGACTATATAGCTTCTTCCATCGAGCCCGTCAACTGGCAGCATTCATATACTGGGACCCTCTTCCGCTTCAATTCACACTCTTCCCACAAAGAACATATATATAACTACACATGTAACAGCACTTCTGGACTTGGTTGCAAACTCCAAGTCCAAGCGCTTCACGTGCCTCGTCCAAGCGTTTTCTGTAGGCGTCCTTGGGCCACCGATTCTTGAAGGAGCCGCGCCTGGCGAGAGGGGAAAGCGGCCGTTTTGGGATGCTTGACAGACTCTCCTTGGAAACCATCATGGAAGAGGACAATTAGTGACAATGGCCCCTTGGACCCTTTGGATGACCCGTTTCTGAATACCAAAGAGGTGGTTTGGTTCCACTTGCATGATGATTCCTACGGAAGCTCTTTCAGGAAAGCACGAGGTTTCTGAGTGCATAAGATTTGCACAGGCCTCGATGTAACCCTGACCCCTGTCAGCCTCTTCTCACAAACCGCACACAAGCAAACGCATCCAGTCCGCCAGTCTTAAAGGATCAAATCTCTGACACTCACTTCACTCACTCTGCATTCCACATGCATATTAACATGCTATGTTCATATGATATATGTTCTTGCTACTTTTTTGGGGAGGAGGGGAGGAACCGGATGGGCTGGGCCCCTTTCAATTCCACCTATGCCCACTTCCACGTCCTCCCGCTCCGCCTCCGAGGGCGCCGGCGCCGCGCCGCTCCTGGGACCTCGATCTGCGCGGTGGATTGGTTGGCGGCCAACCGAGGGAGACCAACCGGGAAACCTATGTTACTATGTTCTTGGGAGAGTAAGTAGTGGTGAAACAAAAGGGGAAGGTGACCAACCGAACCGTGATCTCAAGGTCCGTGAGCATGGCCCCTGAGCCTGTACAGCAGGTTCCTGTGTGGCTGTGAGGTGGTCAAGAACAGTCAATAACATGTCCAAAGGATTCCCACATATTCTCACCATTTCTCACCCACCTGCGGCCTACATCTTCAATGACATGTCAGTACTTCTTTGGGGCCACTCACATCGACTCGCATGATCGCGAGTCTTACACATGGGCAGCTTCAGGACGATTCCCAGGGTGCTGGTATTCTCCAGTCATTTTGGCATTGAACCAGCTGAGGTGCTTGGAACCCACCTCGAAGGGCGCTGCTGCGCTGAAAACGCCTTCATGACTCCCGGACGATGCCCGACGACTCGCTGGCTGCATCTGGGAGTGCCTCACCTGAGACGATGGGACCCTCCGGAGCTTCAGAGACGCGAGCCTGCCGGGGCGAGACGCAGGAAACCTTCCGCGCGTGATGCCGGCGGCCGACATCAGGAGTTTTTGTGGGCCGATTTGGGATCATGGTGTACAGTATTAACCGACGGCCGCAAGTCATTGATTGTGAATTTGGCCTAGTACACCACCACTACCACCGCTACTCCTAGTCCTACTGCTACTGCTACTACTACTGCTACTGTTACTCCTGCTGCTACTATCTGCTACTAAGCAAAGGGTTACCCAAAGTAGAAAAAATTAGGAGAACCTTCTTTTTGCATTGCTGCATTCCTGTGCTTTTTTCATGAAACGAATCACCCCAATCTATCCAAATCTATTCCAACCTGCAGCCTTTTCAAGTCGCTCTGCTTCCCACTCCTGTCCCCCCAACCAAAACCCAGGCGGTCCGCAACGGCGGCTGGCGACATCAGCATGGCCTCAAGGGCCGGGGGTGAGGTGCAACGAAATTCAGGACCTCTAGCCCTTCAGTCCACAAGAAATTGATAAAATGTGTGTCAACATCTAGGAAGACCCTTACATCGAACAATTCGAATCAATAACATGTCGATGGGACGTTCGTCTATATTTTCACCTTCCCATGGGGCCCATTGATGTTGCGCTACACAGGGCCAATAAGACCAAGGTGTTGAGCATATAACCTGCCAGAGTTTTTGCCCCCCCATTCTTCCCCCAATGTTGTACTATGTTGTACTCTTTCTGGTCATCTCTGTTCATCTACCCCACCGAGTTCCTGCGTCCTTTGGAACATGGACACATAACAAATCTGTGAAACATCCTGAACAACCGTTTGCACGTGCTTGTAGATCTTGTAGGCTTGTAGGCTGGGGTTCGGGTTTTGGTGTCCACCACTTGGCGTGGTGCTCATCGAATACAGCCCGCAACCTCTGCAACATCTTGAGCCCGGCGGCACGGAAGAGCGCATCGACCCAGCAAAGGCAGTCCTGAAGGATCGATCGGAAGATGCAACGATCACAATTTGGAAAGCATCCCTACCCCACAGCATCTCCAAGAATCGAGGCATCTAAGACTAAGAAGCATCCCGCCATGAGAGCGTACAGGACTATATCATCGGGGGTGCTTCTCTTTTGGCACCTCATTGAGGAGATGTTTTTTCTTGAAAGCGAGCACGTACAACAGCATGTGAAGCCATGAATCTCTGGACGGCCATGGAAGCTCCGTCGTGCCAGGCTGTGTTAGGACATGGGCTGCGAATGCACGCTCCCCTCTGCGAAGGCATGCCTTGATTCCCACCGTCAGTCCTGCGCGTGGAGTCTGCTAGCGCATTCCTGGCGCCCGGGGGATAGTCAAACAAAGCAACATCACTAGCGCTGAAGTTGATGACCTGGGCCTCGAAAAAAATGACCTGGGCATACTTGGCCCAGGTAGGGCACTAGCATGTATATATTCCATCACCAGCGGCACCAGCGCCCAGTGGGTGATGATTGTTAGTAAAGGCATGTAAGGCATATAAAGACCTTTCCCCCAAAACAAGTCATCATCTCTTACCGACTGTTATAGTGGTAATTGGACACACCCTGCTTGTGCCAGTCTTGTTCTTTTTGGAGCTAGGTCTACCTCTTGACAGTGGATGCTGAGATCTGATGATTGCCCAGGCCCGTCGAGTTACTATGCCTTACGATGCCGCTGCTTCTGGACGACAAAGACGTCATCACATGGCCACCCAGTGGCCACCCGATGATTGCCCTGGCCTTGTCGAACTTGGTGAACATCAAGTACTGGACATCCTGTGCTGCGCTCCAAGCTGCGCCGCAAGGAGGAGCGCACGGTGTTTTCGTGACATGAGACATGAGACATCATGAGACATATGAATGGACTGTCAGTCGGTCAGATGTTCCAACATGGCCAATTGGCAAACTTAAAACACATATATATATATATAATTACATTGGCACCCCTTTGAAGGTCTAAACAAATCAATTGGTCTACTATGGCCATCCTTCAGGGTACATCCGCCCCCTGTGCAGCTTCACACCATCCATCCTAAAATTGTATATATAAGAATAAATGTAAGAAATACCGACTAGCAGCGACTAGCAGTGTCCATGACCGAGCCACTGAGGTGTTGGACTCTTAGCGGCTCAAATCCCGGGTGTTCTATCGAACTGAGCCAAAGTCATTTTTGAAAGGATCATGCACTCTGGCAAGCTGCAAGTGCTGAATGCCGAAGGCGGCCCGAAGGCTTTGGATGTAACTGATGTAGCCCTGAAACACCAGCTGGGATGATTGAATCTTCAGCCTTTCTGAAGAAAGTGACTCTCCACTCCCCACTCGATAACGCGCCTGGCTAGGCGTGGGAAGGCCCTTGCGCTGGAAAACTGCGTCTGAGAGGTCTTGGACCTGCGACAGCATGGGTGGGCCGACCTCTCTGAGGTAGATGGCGGTTGATCAGTCAATCAGGGTCCCTCGTCTTGAGCCCCCTTATGTCCCTGCCCGAATGCAAAACCATGATGCCAAGCAACCTTGGGAAAGTGGACGCTTCCAAGCCTTGAAAGTTGTTGACTCTTTGGGGCAGCGTTTATGGTGAGACAAGGCTGGAAGGCTCAACAGTACGTGAGACTGTTCTAAAAAGGGTGTGGGATGCTTCATGACATCCCAAAGGCCCCAAACAAATGACCGAACGTTCCGTAAACAGCACTGGTGGCACTGGGATTCGAAACTAAACTCGAGATACTCGAGATACAAATTCTCCACTCCAAACTCTATCTCCCAACATCTACGAACGATCGTTTGCATGCTATCAGTAGGCCAAGCACTCACTTGCGCACCCCCAAATAACCTCACTTGCGC